TTTCTTTCTTTCTTGTATAGCCCTGGCCAGCCTGGAGTGATCTGTGTAGACCAGGCTGGTCTTGAATTTATAAAGATAAAACTACCTCTGCCTCCTGAGTGCCGGGATTAAAGGTGTGCACCATCACTCTCAACATAAGACCCTGTCTCAAAATAAGTTTATAAATTACTAAGTCTCAGAGTTTGTATCTAACTTAACCATTGATACTTATTTCTCTGGTCTTGTTGCCAATGTTTGTGAAAGCCTTTCAACAATCATTTGATACGCTAATGATTTGCTTTAGTGATAACATATTCTGAATAATGATTTGCTTTAGTGATAACATATTCTGACTATAATTATAGTGTAATTTTAATCTATCTGTTGCTAAACTGTGAAGACGTAGCCAGTGTTTTGCTGTTTGGGAATGGCACAATTTGCATATCTCTTAATGGAGGAAATTTCTTTATGGGATGTTCTCCTTAGGACAAGGTCCCCAAAGTCAAAAGGTGTAGACATAGGCAGGCTCCTGCCATCTGCCGGGCCAGGCTGGTCCCCCCAGAACCTGCAGGTCATGCCCCAGCCCTTCACTAACTGGGTGCTTATGACCCTCAGGTCCCTCGTCCTCACTCCATCCATGACCACGTCAGACCTTTCCACTCACTCCACCGCCTCTCTCATCAGCAACGAGGAGCAGTTTGAAGACTATGGAGAGGGGGAAGACGTGGACTGCGCCCCCAGCAGCCCCTGCCCCGATGATGAGACCAGAACCAACGTCTATTCAGATCTGGGATCTTCAGTGTCTTCCAGGTGGTCCTTTGCTCTGGTTGGCATTTGGAGTCCATGGAAAATGCCAGTCTAGCCTCATCCCAGTGGGTCAGACAGGCAAAGATCATCCTCTCTCTGTCCAGGGCTACATGGCTCTACTGGCATGTGGGGCGCCACCTTCTCATATCCTGATTTGGTGCAAGGGGGTCAGGCCTCCCCCTTCCCTTTTATCTTGGAGAAGAAACAGTTAACTGGTCTGGGCGTTTGCACACCCCTGCAGGAGTGTCTGTCATCTTGCTTCCTAGAACCTCAGTGTTAAGGGGCCCTTCCAAGTGACCTTCTATGGCCCCTTCTACCTGCCTGAGTCATTGCTTCCTGTGACATTAGCTCTCAGTACGCCTTATCTGCTGATTGGGTTCATTTCCCCTGCTTTCTCTGACAACCGGGGAAGGAATGTTCTGGTTTATTTCCATTCCTCTACCCCAGAGTAGAAATGGGAGCCTCAGGGACCAAGGTTGAGGAAGCTCAGCTGGGTGGGCAGGGCACAGCCTGCCAGCAGCATAGAGAATGACCTCCTCCCGCCTCTGGTCCAGCGCGGGGCAGACCCCAAGGAGGATGCGGCATGCCTACAACAGTGAGCTGCTGGATGTGTACTGCTCTCAGTGCTGCAAGAAGATCAACCTGCTGAACGACCTGGAGGCCCGGCTGAAAAACCTGAAGGCCAACAGGTGAGGCCGCAGCCCAGGGATGGGGCCCGGTCAGGACAAAGCCCCCTGTGTGGTGAGGTACTGAGCAGGGCTGGCCCTGGGGTGGTCCTGCAGCACCTCGGCACCAGGCTGATGAATGATGTCCCTTCATCCCATTATACCTTAGTGCCTTGCGGTGGGCAAGTGTGGATATGGACCAGTGTGCCCTTCTGTTCAGTGACTGTCTCTTCCCTGTACCCCTTTCTCTCTCTAGCCCCAACCGGAAGATCTCAAGCACAGCTTTTGGAAGGTAAGACCCTCTTGGGAGACAAAGAGCTGAGTGCTTTCCACCTTCATTGCTTCTGCTGTCCTGGGGCCAGGGCTCCATGGCAGCAGCCCAGATTTAGCCCGTGCCCCGAATGTAGCCAACTGACTGCTTCCCCAGCTGAGTAGAAGAGACAACAGTAAGGGCAAGTATGGCCCCTTTCCTGCCCTTGCCACCATGTCCCCGCTTAGTAGGGTCAGCATCTTCAGATCCTCACTGTTTCAGCCTTAGTGGGCCTTCTAGGATGTTCTGAGAACCACAGTCCCGCCCATGTCTGTTGATGTTCCAGTAGGACCTGGGCTTGGGGCGGCCCCTGCCCACCATCCTTAGCATAGACAGTCATTTAGGCGGAAGGTCAATGGAGCATTGCCCCTGTGACCTCCTTTCCAGCAGCCCCTGCACTGAGTTGGGGCCCCAGGCTGTGGTAGACTCAGCAGGCAGGTGTACTCCACCCCCACAGGCAGCTCATGCACAGCAGCAACTTCAGCAGCAGCAATGGCAGCACTGAGGACCTGTTCCGCGACAGCATCGACTCCTGTGACAATGACATCACAGAGAAGGTGGGACTCGGGCACGGTCCTGGGATGTGTGGGGGAGGTGCCCCGGCTGCTCTCTGGGTTCTTGGACCTACACCCACCTAGGAGTTCAGGGCAGGGAGGGGCACTGGTCAAATGCCCCCTCCTCTGTAATGTGACTCTTCAGTTATGCATAGTCCTTTGGAGGTCCTTGTCATGAGCTTTTCTAGGTTCTCAGTTCTGTGGCTTCGAAAGCCTTCTCTACCCTGCCTGACCCTGCCACCCGTCCCCATGCTGCAGGTGAGCTTCCTGGAAAAAAAGGTAACAGAGCTGGAGAACGACAGTCTGACCAGTGGGGACCTGAAGAGCAAGCTGAGGCAGGAGAATACGCAGCTGGTGCACAGGTCAGGTGCAGGGGGTTCTGGGGGAGGGTGGGGTGCCCCCTCTGCCAGGGGAGAGGCCCCTCGGTCTTCCCAGCTCTGAGGCACTTGCCTTGTTTTCAGACCTGATAGCTCCTGCTCTGGGTGTACAGCCCCAAGCTTGAGGCCCACTGCTTAAGAACAGTGGTTCTCAACCTGCGGGTCAAAACCTCTGCAGGGATTCCATATCAGATATCCTGCACGTCAGATAACTCCATTCAGATTCATAACAGTAGCAGAATTACAGTTAGGAAGTAGCAACGGAATACTTTTGTAGTTGGTCACCACAACATGAGGAACTGTATTAAAGGGTCGCAGCATTAGGAAGGTTGAGAGCCGCTGGCATCGAGTGACTAGAGCCTGGCTTCTCTTCCTGAGAACATACCCCTGTGACATGTCCCTGAGAGAGAGGGCCCAGGTGGTGCTAGTACGGACAGAGATGAGGCATTGGGAAGGATGCCCCCCCCCCCCCCCCCCCCCCCCCCCCCCCCCCCCCCCCCCCCCC